AGCAATTTCAATTGGCCGCGCAAGTATTTGCTCAACATCGGAGGGGCCAGCGACGGGGCCAGCGCGAGGTCCAGCGCTCCCAGCCATGATGGGAATGTTAATGCTTATGTTGTCTTAAATGTTGTGGGCCCGGCCGAAAAGCACTTATGCTAATCATGGCCATTAACAGTTGAACTTGGCAACGCAACCAGTTTGTGTTTGTGTGTGTGTGTGTGTGTATGTGCTGTAAGGAAATCGCCGGCCCTGGCGAGGCATCCATCAAGCTCTGTCTGATCTAGAGCCAGACACAGACATGGACCTGTCGCCTCTGTCGGCTTGTCGCCAAGATCGGTGTGGACATGGAGGACAGTTCTATCAGATGCTACACGGAGCAGAACCGTTAGTGGCAGTTGATCCAGTTTTTTGTGTGGAAGTTTCGCTGCTCCCTCCCCGTCCCTCCACCGTTCTGCTGTTCCCTTGGCATGTTCAATGTTAATTTAAATTAAAAAGCAACGGCTCTTTATTATTATGGCTTAATCGCATTGCATCACCATTAGCCAAGCCTGTTGCTGGTTTTCGCTTGTTTTTGTGGCTGGAACAGCGATTTACACCGTCATCTGCCTAATGGCATAAGAGGTGTTTGGGAATCAATTAAGTTGGAGGACAGGAGAAGCTTGCAACTGAAAAGCAAACCAAAAGCTGAGAAGGCCTCAAGGAAATTCCCCATTGAAATATGAGGCCTCGAACGTTCATCAGATAAACGCAAGTGGATCTGGACATGAAGCAAGGGCATAAACATACGTACATACATACAAATACATTATTGTACATATATCAGGAGACAGAAAGAGAATCTTCTTCGCTGACGTCTTAAGCTGACAGTAGAACCGAACCTGAACCTTTTGGGGCGTGTGGATTTCCATATTGCTGGCCTAAGCTGACCAAGGATGTGGGGCTCTAGATAAGGATATTGATTTCAGCTTTTCTCTACGCATCTGGCAACGCTGCAACCTGCCGACGCCGCAGCTCTTTACCTCTGCTCTCATTAAGCCTTATGCCCAAGAGCAGATATTACATTCTAACCAACACAAAAGCGAAATAAAAAACTTGCACTTCCAGTAGAAGAACTGGCAGAAGATGCACGCAACAATGCAAGGGGGAAAAATGAAATAAAAAACTCGTTGGCCAACCTGGTCGACTCTCGACTCCCGACTCCCAATTCCCGCCTACCGATCCCTCCTGCCGCCTCCTCGACCGGACCAGCCCATCCCATTCCATTCCATCTCGGCGAATCGGTTGCCCGGCCAGTGCAGAAAGCAAGCTCAACGCGAGCAGAACTCCAGCCCGATCACGGATCGCAGAGCGAGGGAACCCAACCAGCCAGCCAGCCAGCCAGCCAAGCAGACTTGGGACTGCCAATGCGAATGCGAATGCGAATGGGATCGAGTGCGGTTAAAATCTCAGCTTTCGCGATGTGTAAAAGATACGTTTCGGTGTGGCGTAAAGAAGGCATTAAAATCGCTTGCCAAGCTGACAAAACGGCAATAAATTAAGCCAAAAAACCGCCGCGGGTCGCATAAAACGCCAAAACCCCCCAACAAACACAGGGAATAAACCAAGAAATTTCGCAGCTTGCAGTTTACACGGTTGCAGTTTTCGAAAGGTAACCGAGGTAGCTGGTAACAGCACCGGCGGCCAGGAAGACCAGTCTTCTAAGCACTGCACTCTTCTGGCCGGTCTTCTTCGGTTTCCTGGGGTTCGTTGGCTGCCACAGCCACTGCCAGTGCCAGTGCCAGTGCGATGGCGACTGCAACTGCGTGTTGAGAGAATGGGAATCGCGACGCGGCCAATGACGATGCCAATGCCAGTGCCATGCCGAGGCCTAGGACTATTATTAGTTTTGCTCACTTGCGGTAATTAAAGCGTGAAAATCACTCTTTAAATTCTCATAAATTCGTGCTCTAAACGCAACATTCCGATTCGAGGGTGCAACTTTGTTTTGTCACTGTGTCTGTGCAACAGTGTGTGTGTATCTGTATGCGTGCTTGCAACATTTGTAATGCGTTTTCAATTATAGACTAGACGCGCCACACAAACCAACTGGGATTACGCCGATTGCTGAGAACGGAGTAGGTAAGTGCCTGGGCCTGAGACTGAGCCGGGACCTGCGCCCATGTTAATGGCTTGGGGGCGTGGCCAGCAATTGCCACAGCGACTGTCAATTGATTTTAATTTAAGCCGCGGCGATTCGCCTTAAATTGCCAATTATATTTAGTCGCTAGATATACGATAAAAGCCGAGCGGAGAGCCAAAACGAAACTGAACTAAGCCAACAATTTGGCGAGCGTTTTCCTGTGCGCCTTTTTCCTTTTGTGCCTTTTCGCATTGTAAATAAAACGGGTAATTGGCGGACTACAGACTGCAGACTACAGACAACAGTGATTTAATCGCAGCCGCGTCTCAGACGGAGACCAGAAATGCCAACACTTTGGCAATGCCCCAATCCCAAGTCCCAAATCCCCCAATCCCCAGACTATCCCACATCCCATACAACACCAATCCGTGCCGTTTCGTTCTGTTTTCCCCTACACTTGCTCATTAAAAGCGCGCCACACTGACCTCAAAGAGCTTAACTTATTCGCTCTGCCACCCTCTCTCTCTCTCTCACCCTTTCTCTCTCCATACGGCTGGACCAGGACAAAAACAATACAGAAACAAGTGAGAGGGGTTAGCAATCGCGCTATCGAAGCTTTTGATACCCTGTCAGATCCATGTTTTGATCAAAGTCAAATGTACCATGGAATCCGATCTGATCAGGAATTTGTATACATTCTTCCCCTTTTAGGGGCAAAGCCTCTGGTAAAACTCATAGTACCCTCGCCAAGGGTATCAAAAGAATTAAAATAAATTGCAAAAACAAACGAAATCGAGGGAGAAACAATGGGAGGGTCCGTTTGGATTGCGCTGAGGGGACGGGTGGGGGGCTGAAACAGCGAAGAGTTAACAACTTAATTGGATTTGCATGTAATTTTACTGTCCAGATTGAAAAAATCGACAGTTGTTGGCAGTTTGTTTGCCGGCCAGCATCGCAGATAAGCGCAAACGAGGGCCAAAAGGATGCCAGCCAGTGGCGAAAAAAGTCGCACACAAAACGCACTCAAAACGCTCGCGAAACGCTTGCAAAACGCAGCCAATTTGGCTTAACTTTTTTCATTTATTCATTGACATATTAAGCTGCTTTCCATACACAGTTTTGCTTAAGTTAGTTGTGGAGCAATCAAGTGGGGGAAGTGGGGGTGGCAGGTGGGCGGTGGGCGGTAGTTAACAGGCTTTTCCACCAAGTGAAAATCCAGTCTTGCCGGTTTATCGCATCGCCTTTGGTGCCCACTGTGCTGCCGAGTAATACCATTTGGCATAAATTATGTCTTTGGCGCTTAGTCAAATGGACATCGCTTGACCAGAAGTGACACTAAAGCCAATGTCTACTGTAGGCTGGATCCAGCAGTCCCCACCCCGAATATCCACTGCCTCCCGTTAGGCTGCACTCAAAGCGCCTTCGATTTCAATTAACGCTTCGCTTAACAATTTTCTGGCCAAATATTTCAGCAGCCGATAAGTGTTACCTTCGCGTCTTGGCTTCCTTGATAATTCCGATTGCTGGGCCGCTGACAGGCCATAAAATTTGGTGCTACAGAAGCTGACAGCATTTGTCGCCGTAAATGCGATTTAAAGTGGATTTTTCGGGCGCTTTTCAGCTGTCGCTTGCCGTATGACTTAACAGGTATAAACTAAGCGAGGGCTCCACCGAAAGTTTACCTTACTCTTGGTTTGGCTTGATCCTTTAAGCCTTTAAAAGTTGGATCATGTATGCAGATACTCTGACCAACTCTCAAATCAACTCTCGTTCGCCTTTAAGCCTTTTGCTTTGACAGTCGCCAAACTTCTTATCTGCGCGGCTCGAAAATTAAACATGTCAGCGCTTTAAGAGAGGTCTGATAAGCACCGATCCACTACCGAATGCCTTGTCCTGTTCCGTCTGGAGGAGGCCTCCTGGCTCTGCCTTGGCTCAGGGGATCAGGGATTACGCAATCGGAGCCTCGCCGCGCCTTATATGGCATGTCCATTGATGTGGTCCATAAATTTGACTGCCTTTTTGATTATTTCTATAAAAATAAATACTCATAAGCAGTTCATAAGTCGCTGGGGCCTTTTGTTTCTGCTTCTAGCTGGCTTTCGGTTGCGGGCCTTGTTAGGTCCCGAGTTTTGGTTGAGTTGAGTCGAGCAGAGCCGAGTGTGCATGTGCCATAAATTAACGTCAATTGGCGGCAGGGCATATACTCGTACAACAGAGACAGGCTCGGGAGCAGACACAGACACAGATACAGATGCGGACGCAGTTGCAGCAGTGGAAAAGTGCAGCCAAGCCAGGCAGTCAGGGCCGTCAGTAAGCGGCGGCGCATGCGCCCATAAATCTTTTTTTTTGTGTTTTTTTTTTTTTTTTGGCTATGGAACGGCGGCGGCGGTCAGCAGAGTTCATGTATTCATTTCTGACAAGCCTACATTCGAGTGGAGAGAAGTATGTGTGCATTCAAATTGTGAAATTAAAGTGGAAATTGGCAACAGGAAACATAAAGAAGAGAAGCCACAGGCCAGGGGCCAATTTATCGGCATTGTTTCCACATCTCTGGCTCATTTTGATTGAATTCAAATCGCAATTGGCCAAGACAAAGGAATGCTTCGCAGCTCTCAGGCTCTCCACCACAGCACAGCAAAGCACAGCACCAGCCCAGCCCAGCCCGGTGGAATGTCACAGTCATTTCGGGTCTGGTTCTGAGCTCTCCAGCTCTTAAGCTCTCAGCTGCGAGACGAACAAGTGGGGCCCAGCTGTGTCGGGGACCCTGTAAAATGTTCATCAAATGAACGCTTAAGCGGTGCAGCCCGGTCCGTCCCCAAGCCCAGCCCCACACTCGCACACAATGCAACATTTAAACAAACAGAGGGATCCACCAGCAGCAAAAGCAAAAAAAAAAAAAACAAACCAGAGACACAACCAACTGCGCAGCGTTAGCCGTAGAGAACCCAATTTAAGATGTTGTTCTGGAGCCGAGGCTGTCGGTTCTGGTTTTTGTTCATCTGCAATTTTTCACATGCCTCGTCAGATACGTCATTGTCAAGTGCGCAAGCGGCGGGCCTAATGAAAGTAACGACTGGCCACGGCCACAGCAACGACAGCGACAGCAGCAGCGGCTGGGTGCAGTCTTGGGTCCCTAGATCCGGCCAAAGTGTGCGCCTGCCCAGGCGGAGATGCGGCAATGGCGGCCCATGAAGTAGATGACATCCTTCGATCTAACTAAGAACAGAAACGGTCTTGTGGCGCAATCGAATGTGTGGTTGGTGTAGAAGAAGCGCAATGGATTGACGGGCTCTGTTGGCGGGAAGGAAGGTGGGACGGCAGGACGGGAGGAAGGGTTAAGTTAACATTATTATGGTAATCGCTGGAGCAAAGGGCAGGCTATCGAGGCACGAACCTTGTACTGGGGAGGAACGGGAAGAGCCACCATGAGTGTGGATACGCATGCTGATCGTCTGAACGAACCGCTTGATGCGAGTGCGTCGGGGATTGTTGAACATGCCCTGGTACGGCAGCTCGGCGTCGAACAGCCAGCTCATCTAAGGACCGGCACAAGTTACTTATTCCAGGTGTTGGTGCAGCTACAGGAAGACACTCACTCACCTCCTTCTTGGAGCGTTCCATGGTAACCTTGCCGAAAAACTGAAGATTGGGCAGGCGCACAGAAACGCTCGTGGGGAGCAGCTGCCTGGACAGATTCTGGTAGCTGCGCTGATCCGGACCCAGTAGCTGTGCCTCCAGCTGTTCCAGCGATATCTTGGGTCCAGGCATCAGCAGCAGTAGCGTGAGGAGGCCGTGGCCGGACTCAGTTTGGAGCGGCAGCTCCAGGCCCACGCACGGAATACGTTTCTGACCCACCAGCAGTCTTTCCGCGAAGCGAAATCGTCCTCGGGCATAGCTGAACTTTCCCACGGAACGGAACTGCTGGTCCAGATAGGCATGGAACTTGATGCCACTGTACAGCTTCACGTCCGGCGATGCGATGCCGAGCTCTGCCAGGAGCGAAGCCACACCGAGCTGGCGCTTGGACAGGACTTCAATGTTGAAGTATTCCCACACACTCCTGTGAAAGCTGCTGGCAAGCTCGTGGTCGCCGTCGTGGATGAAGAAGTTGCGCACCAATATGTCTGCCCCGAGCTCGGCAAAGTCCTTGGCAAAGAACTTTTTTACGTTGTGCGGAGCAATGTATCCGGTTATCAGGTCGACTGTCCCTTGGCGTAAGCGGACAGGCAATGGGCCCGTTAGGATTTCCGCGACTTTAGTTGGCACAAAGGTGTCGCCGTCGACCAGGCACAGGTCCTGGGCCAGCAAACGCATGTCATCCTGGTAGGTGAAGTTGTAGAACGCGACCAGAAGCTTTTGCATCGAGGCCGGCGAGAAGAGCACCACCGGCTGAGGTGGAAGTTCTGGCGCCAAGGGCATAATGAGGCTGAGAAGCAAACTATTCGCATAGGCATCCCGGGAATTCGGACTGGGCTGGATTATCGTCTCGGTTCCGCAGTAGAAGATGCTCAAGATCAGGACAATTGTTATGGCTGAATAGAGGGAAATCTAAGGGATCAATTCTAGGGAAATCAATTTGTTAAAAACTCACCCAACATCATGTTGAAAATGTTTTCCCATACTTTGGAAAATTGATTGGAAATTACATGAATGTTAGCATGAGCAGGTTGGCTACCATAAATGTGTATAAAACTATGGAGAAAGAAAATATAATAATGAAAACAGACCATCCACTAATCGAAGCAGAGAAAAGCATCCACACAGATAATGCCTGCAAAATAATTTCCAACGATGTCTGAATTTCGATTATTTTATAAATTTAAATCGAAATGGTATTAGCTACAGAGCCGACATAGAAAGCTGAAACAATTCATAAAAACTAAAATTTATCGGCTGCAACAGCTCAACAATTTTCCAAATTTCCATAATATCTTTGCTTATTTTAATGCCGGAACAACGAAATCTGTGAAATTTTTGATGCATGTTAATGCCTCTGACTTAAGCCTTGGCAGGAGGGGTGGGGGGCAACGTTTATGCAACACATGCCACCAAAGAGGATTATCTATCCCACATGCGATACGCAAAAAAGTGTGCAGCCGAGCTGGGGGCGGGGAAAAATGTTTGGCTTTTGTGGAAAATTTTCGAATTTATATGCAAGTTCATAAACAAAGCACTAAAAAGGATTTAAGTTTGGGAAGCAACAATGGGCCACAATGATGCCATAAGCAATAAACAGTCAAGTTTGGTGGAGGGGAGAAGCCTGAAAATTGTTTTTGGCAAACAGAGGCAACCAAATCGGTGGCAGTGGCAGTCCTGCTGCTGCTGCTGCTGCCTCCGCAAGCCGCAAAGCTGCACACAAAACTATGCCGCACACACTCGACTCGCAACTCGATTCGAGTGGAGCCTTGGGTGGAAAGTTGGAAAGTGCCGGGGATTTGTTGCAGCCAAAAAGTTTCACTGTCTGTGTGTGAAATTAATTGTTGGCTGCCTCCGACTCAACTCAACTCGACTCGACTCTCTGCTCTGCTCTGCAGCCATTTTTAAGCCAAAACAAAGCTATCACTTACACGCCGGGCAGGGATTAGTCCAAGGATCCATGGATGGAGACGAGCCAGCCAAAATTCAATTAGGCGCCATGACGTGCCACATTCGAAGGGGCAGGCTGGAGGAAGTTTACTTGCTGTGGCAATAAAACACAATGCAGATAATTTGGCGCTTTTTCAATTCTTTCTTGGAAGCCAAAGGCGCTGTAATTTGCCACATAAGTCACAGAGTCAACAAAAGTCGCTGCAACGCAGAAGAAGAAGGAGGGTGAAGCCCGGCAGACCCAGGCCCAACTCGAAGTCCAAGTCCGAGTCCAGACGGGCCAAAACCAACAACTCAATTCTTCTCTCCCTCTCTGCCAGCCAAGACCACATCAGACACTGACACTGACCTCTTTGCTCTCTGTCCCCCTCGCACATCTCGTACCATATGAAGGGGAGTAGAGGCGTGGCTGCTGCATGTGCCACACCCCAGTGGAAGACCCAGAACACGCAAGGCAAGGCACAAGGCAACTCCGATCCACTTCACTTTCAGCTGCTGCTAGTCCCGCATTCGACTAACAAGATTAAAGTTGAAATTGTAAATTGCTTCTTAGTCTAATTACGATACTCGTATGTTGTTACTGTTGCTGATCACCGTGATCATCAAGAGGCAGCCACAGACGACGACGCATGCAGCGGCAGAGCTCCATTCTTCAGCCTCCTCTGGGGCGGGGGAAGGGGGCCTAATCGACCATCTTGTTCTGGCTGCCTCTTGGTTTGTGGCTGCTGTTGTTACCCGTTCATTTTCGTACTTTAATTACAACAACTAAACGGAGTACAAGACTCCGTGGAGGCAATTACCCCCGCTGATAGGTCGCGGTACAAGAAGCTCACAACTCTGGCAGTTTGCTTTATTAAAAAATTCTAATCATTTCTGCAGATTTACATGGAGATAAGGAATTTGGTTTGTTGGAATGCCCCCTGCTCCTAGCCATCGATGGGACATGGCGATGTATCGGTAGAAGAGCAGAAAGGGAGCATGGGGCATCCATAGAGCAAAGTGAAAGGTAGGAGAGCCAGCCGGTCATCCCAAACGAGAGAGATATAGGAACATTTTGTCAAGCGATTCAGTGAAGCTTTGGGGGTTATGCATTTGCATTTGAATCTCTGAATTGTGTGCTGCCACATTTCTCAAATGTCAAACGGGGCTTTCTGCACTTTTCACATTCAAGTTATGAGTCGCTGCCACCGCTGCAACCGAACCCTAATCGAGCCCATACAACGGTAATTGCACTCGCAGATAAATATCACTGTTAGAAGCCCACACGACGGACTCTGTGGCCTGACTGGGGTTCGGACACAGCCTCTGGACTCGGCTGGGTCTGAAGTTGTTTGCTTAGTTGCAAGAGGAGAACACACACACACACACACACACTACAAAAAGTGGTCAGTGGCCGAATGGAAATGGCAAGACGAGTCCCAGATAGACTGGTCGCCAAGTCTCTCTCTCTATCTATCTGCACTGCCCTGTCTCTGTCTAGCTGTGTTGGCGAAAGCCAGAGCACCGCACCACAGCGGAGGAAGAAGCAGCCAAGGCAAAGATGCTTTATTAATTTTAACCGTTTGCTGCGTGCCAGGCAGCCTTCCCCCCGCCTCTCCATCACATCGATGGCGCAGCAGCAGCAGTACCAGGGTGAAGGAAGATTTCGTTGCCAGGGGTACCATACGAAGCCGACGACTGTTGTCGTGAGACAAGTTTATTTGGCTCAGTGCCGTGTTGACGTTTAATAAATTTACGAATTGTGGCCGTGCGCGGCATGTGGCCAAGACATTGGCATTGGCATTGGCCATGGGTTGGCGATTGGTATTGGGATTGGACGATGGGAGGATGGGAATGCCGCATTGGCAGTTAGACAAAGTACGTGCTCCTTGCAACTGCAACAGCCACTGAGACAGCAGCTCAAGTCGCAGCTCCAGCCCCAGCCCCAGCTCCCCGGCAGCTCTTGTGGCTTACAGTGGCTTCATCAATCTTGGCCAGACCCAGCTCGCGCTCGCCGGGCATCCAGTTGCTGGCGTTTTTAATGTGCCACATCAATCCCGGCATTAAGAGCAACAGCGAAATCCAAATCCAAATACACACAAACACACGGCCATTCCTGCCGTCCGGCTAGAACTTTTAATTTCTCTTAAATAGAGACACACTCAGCCCACTCAAGTGACAGACAAAAAGAAAGAAAGGGGGCGGTGGAGGCGGAGGAGACAGCAGCATTCTGCCGTAATTAAAATCTTGAGTTCACTAAAAAAGGCGACGTCGTTTCGCTTTTAAGAGCCCTTCGAGTGCTTCCACAGCTGTAGCTGTAAGAGAGGAGCTGCAACAATCAAAAGATAAACTGCCGCCGCCAGTGGAGTTGCATTGGCAGTCGCAGTGCCAGTGCCAGTGGTAGTGGCAGGGACTCCAAGCACCAAGCAACGAACAACGAGCTCTGAGGCCAGGCAATGGAGTCGCCACCGTTCCGTTCCGTTCCTCCTGCTGTTGCATTCATTGAAGTCCATTTAGACTGCAATTAAAAAACTCACAACTTATACGCGGGCTGCAGATAAAGGTACGGCAAAAGGCTTCAAGTTCACTTAGCTTTGGCATAAATGTGAGGCTTCCAGCTAAGGAATGCTCCGACCCAGCTCTATCTATGTATCTCTGCGTCCATGTATCTGCCCCTCTCTACCAGGAGGTATCTCTGGAGTATCTGACTGCGTCTCTGACTGTGTGTTTGTGTGTGTGTGTGTGCATTGGGTGTACTAAGTATCTGGGCAACCTGTTCCTGAACTTCAGATACGTCGACTGTCAGTGCGCGGCCAAGGAAAAAAGTGAATTAAGTGAATAAGAAAAACATGTTTGAGAAAAATTGTGCGAATGCTTTAAATAATTAAGTAGGTGGACAGACCGAGACAGAGACAGAGAGAAACAGATAAACTCGTGAAAAGTACAGACAATGTCATGAGCTAAGCTTTGACATAGCTCTGGGGGTTAAGCATACGTCATTCCTGCTAATGAGAAAGAAGTTCACTCCTAGAGAATCTTGCATATGTTAGCAATGTTAATGAGAAGCCACTAGAAGGGGTCACAGCTGCTCGAAATGTCCAGCCAGCTCAGGAATGTGGAGTAGAATGGATAGAAGAAGAAGTGGAATATTTTGAGGGAATGCCAAATGAGTGGATAGTCTCGCTAGTCTCCTTTCTAACTTCTTGAGGCGAACTCCAGCTAAATATATAAATATTTCAGTTCGGAGTATTTGAAATTAAGCCAAAGAACTTAGCTTTGGTCTCCTATCTGCACAGTAGACACCAGCAATATATCCCTGCTCGCTAGCTTCCATTCTCTGCCCATTGTTCTGTGAGAAGCGCATCGGGAATTCGACGTGAACTTCCCACACATTTAGCATAACACATGCGGCTCAATCGATCACTGACTGACGATCTGTGCGAGTATCTGTTCCATCTGGCCCGGCCCCCGACGCCTCTCCCCCGCCGAACACTCAACACGTTTGCGGTTCTCAGCGGACTCGAAGAAGACAAATGGCAGAAGCTTCTGTGGCTGACAAGCATCTTTGAGGCACATCCTGTGTTCAGGCCCCGCTTGGGACAGGCTACATCCAGTTCTCATCTCTCAGTTCTCATTTCTATCCTCACTCCATTTCCCATTCTCCACTCTCCACTCAAATTCCAATAAACCAAAAATTGTGCAAAGAGAAAAGTATTTTTATTTAACAGCTTATGGGGTAAAAGTTTCTGGCTTCATAAGGTCGTTTGTCGCACATGTTTACTTGCACTTGCAGTGGCCATAAATTAGATTGAAAACGGAATCAGAACCGAGTGCCGTCTCTGCCCCGGCCAGCCACTGTCCCGTCCCTGTTCTGGCCCTGTCCCAGTCCTGTCCTGGCTCTGGACCTCTATCGAAACCGACAACAAATCAATTTTTGTGCCATTGCAGCAGAAAATGCCACCCCCTCCCCCCACATGTTTTGGGGAGGACTCTTTCATAGTTTTCAATTTTCCCATCATTGACGAACAGGCAAAAGGCGAACACGATTCGGCATCCCCAAACCCAAACAGCTGGACACGGACACGGACTCGCACACGGTCATGGACACAATCTGTGCGGCATTTCTGTGAGGGTTACGATGGGCGGTGGGCCGGGCCTGGGGT